GACTGTAAGCTGAATATGCCTACGTTATAAGAGTAGCGTTGTTGAATATGGCATCCATATATTATTTTAAGGGATAATTGCATACCAGTGGGATTTTTTTTTATTAAAAAAAGAAGGGTAAATTAGTCTCACATCTTATGAGATTTTTGTTTAATATAGATTTTGTTATCACATTTGAAAAATTATATTTCCTCCCTAAGATTATGAAATTTATTACAAATTACTTCTACTGGGCTGTGGCTCACCCTATATGGGAATATCATTTTCAAGTACAGGTAGCATGCCACCTCCAAGGACATAGCTTGGGAGGCTAGAGGCGTACATACTTTTGTCGTTTTATTTTTGATGTATTACATGTAAATTCAAGCCAATGGCTAAATATGTAAATGAGTTAGTACTCTTTTGTTGTAACCAAGTGTTAACTTGGAAAGCTGTAAGCCCGTAGGGCATTTTGCTTTTGTTGTTAACATGTAATATTTTTGTAATGAAACTCTGATGAATGTAAGGTTGTGAGACTTTTATATTCCAATGCATATTTATTTGATAGGTTTAATATAGTTATTTAAAATATAATTAAATAAATGATCGAAAATAAATAAGTGTAACACAAGTAATGTAAACTGTTCGGTGATACAATGATGCCAAGCAGTGTATTATTGAATTTTGATTGGTGGGTTACATCATGTCATCATTGTGACATGGAGTAACGGTTAGACATTGTGGTATGGAGTAACGGTTATACTATAGCCAATTTTTGCTCCTCAGATCCTTTTCCTTTCTCTCTTTCCTCCTTTTCGACCTCTCTCTCTGTTATCTTCATCCTTGCTCTCTCTCTCTCTCTCTCTCCATCTCTATCTCAACCCGATCATTCCTGCCTTACTTTGTCTCTCGCGCAGATACCTCCATCTCTATCTCCACAGATAGTCCTTTGGCTCTCTCTCTTCCCTCTGTTTCATCTCTCTCTAAACCCTAAACCGATCCATATGAAAAACCCGAAACCCTTGAAATCGACTCCTTCAAATCGTCTTTCTAATAGAGAAGATGAAGACAAAACCCTAAGACGACGCAAACAAATGAAGAAGATGAACAAGACGAAAGCACTTAGGAAAAAATTCTGGTTTTATCCAGAATTTTATAACCATTTCCAACAAAATCCAGGTAATTTTTTTTTTGAGATGGTCTTTATGATGATGGAGAATTGCTTCAAATTTGCTTCAAATTGCTTTAGATTAATTGAGATTGCTTGAAATTTGTTTGATATTGCTTGAAATTTGTTTGAAATTGCTTGATTATTGTTGTTGTTGTTGGTTTTAGGTTGTTTGTATTTTTGGTGAATTTTGTTACAAAATATTATAATCTGTTTGGGGGAGTTTTTGCTGGGAAAGGGTGAGAAATGGAGGGAGGAAAGAAAGGGAGGAAGGAAAGAAAGTAGTTGGGGATGATGATCTGGCACATTTGGCATTGCCAAAGCTTGTGCTAAGTTTGGAACAAGCTTTGGCATTGCTATAATATGGCGGCCAATATAGCATGCCAGCGGAGACCTGTTTTTGCCAATTCTTGCCAAAATTTGGCAATGGCAACTCCTTTGGCAACCCCCTGTGGATGCTCTTACAAGTGAAGTTTGAACTGGTTTAGCTGATTAATAGTCTATAACCAGTTTAAGCTTATTACATTGTGAGGGTGTTGTACAAAAAACAGAGTCGGTACATTCCTTTACTCGTCATTTGTTTGGGCAAAATTGTTTTTTTAGAAAATGTTTTCTACATTTTTTGGTATTTGCTATAATGAGAAATGGAAGTCAATGGAAAATGTCACCTCCACACCACCGACCAATACCCCACCATTGCCATTGCCTTCACTACCACCACCTCCTCTCCACCACCACCACCACCACCACCATAACTCCCACCACCATGGTCCCCTACCACCACTACTGCTGCCAACCAACCACACCATTACCACCATTAACACCACCTCCTCCCCCACCACCACTACTACCCCATAAAAATCACCTAAGAAGCACGAACATGGATACGCTGACAGGACAATTTCAAAAAATGTAGAATACAACACACGTGTGGGATGCATATAAAATATATAATTTTATATATTTATTATAGGGTTAATTACACTTTTCACCCTTATAGTTTGACCCAAATTTCACTTTAGTCCATATTATTTCAATTTGAACAATTTGGTCATTCCATCTAAATTTTGGTTACTTTTTTCTATGTGTACACCTTAGAAAATCAACTAGTGTCCCAAAAATGCTAATTTTAAACTCCAATGTGGACAGAAAGACCAAATTGAAATTACACTTGTAAGGACTAAATTGTTGAATTTAAAATTATAGTGATCGAAGTGAAATTTGGATAAAACTATAGGGGTAAAATATGTAATTAACCCTTTATTATATCTCATTCATAGATTAAAAAAAGTGCAATAAACTTCTATATATTTACATTTTTTTCCTTTTGTTATTATATACTAAGTTATTTTATTCAAATTTATAAATAGTTTTATATTTCTAATCTATCGACATGCATATTTAAGTAATGGACACAGGTGTCCTCCAAGTGTCCGAAAAGTGTTTGGATTTCTTTTTGAAAAAAAAAAATAGGATATGTTTTGGTAAGTGCCGGGCACGTGCCGGGAAGTGTTTGACAAATGTCGGTATCCGACATGGACATGTCACTTTCTTAAAGGTGTCCGTAGTACTTCTTAGGCCACCACCCTTCGACCTCCACATCCAAAAATATTCTCTTAAATGAAAGTATTCGTTCTTGGATGGAGGCTCAAGATCAACCTTGTGAAAATCTTATATCTCCTAAGGGGGTTCTACCCTGTGGAAACGATCTTTAACGAAACTTTAGCTTTAGTTGGTTTTTGCCAAAAGAAATGCAGATCTTCTGTTTTTTTCTTCTCTCTAGGGTTAATAGATTTTTTCCTAGTTTTGTATAAGTTGAATCTTAGATAAGAAACCATGAATGTCTGCTCTTGAATTTGTATCTGTATTGCTTTTTATTTTTTCATTGAGACCAACCTAAATCTTCTTATCAACTTAAATGAAATCTCATACAGTAATAAATACTTTTGAAAATGATTATGAACGTTGTTGTATTATTGTCAATTGTATACAGGATCGTTTGCAAATTATTAGAAATGACACATTGCTTTATAAAACAACCGTATTTATTGTGATCTACATGTAAAGCTTGTTTGTCATGCGATAAGCATGTCTTGAGACAAATACAATGATCCAGTCTTTAGATTTCCCAAGGAAATGGAAATAAGCATCCCTCCAATGTTTCTTGATTATCAAAGTGCCACAAACTCCCCAAAACCCAGTGAAAAATCCCAATCCTATGCTGATGGATAACCATAGCATTTCAAACTTATCTTCATCATTTGCAGCTTCTTTGGTCTCAGTAGGAGTTGGCCCAACATTGTCAATACATTTGGTCAGTAGTGGAAGGCCACAAAGTGCAAGGTTACCCTCATAAATTGATGGATCATTGAATGTTTGAAACTGGTTACTTGTGGGGATTTTACCTGACAAGTTGTTATATGATAAGTTCAAGTAATTCAAAAAAGTCAACGATGCCATGCTTGGTGGAATAGGACCTAAAAGTTTGTTCTTTGAGAGGTCAAGTGTTTCTAACTGTTCCATGTTTCCAATGTTCTCCGGTATCCTTCCAGTCAACTGATTCATTGATAAGTTCAAGGTGACCAATTGGAAAAGGCTTGTTAGTTCTTCAGGAATATTTCCAGATAAATCATTACTTGAGAGATCCAGAACATTCACAAGGTAAAGGATTGTATCCTTGTATTCCATTATACTTCCCTTTGCAACCACCTGCAAACTCCCCTCATATTGCTCAGTATTCATATTAAGCACAGATTTCATACCACTCAAATTCCCTAAACATGGTGGAATTATTCCTGACAAATTATTTTGTGAAAGGTCCAATATGTGAAGTGTAGAGAGGCTACATATTTGTGAAGGCATGTTTCCAGTAAAGGAATTATTCCGCAAACGTAGTATCAACAAAGATGGCATTCTTTCTCCTATCCAAGATGGAATGTACCCAGATATTTGATTGTCTCCAATATCGATGGTTTCCATGGCTGTACAATTCTGCAATGCGGATTGAAGTTCCCCTGAAAGATTGTTCTTCGAGAGATATAAGAATTTAAGGAATTTTAGGGAACCCATTGAGATTGGTATTATACCAGATAGACTATTGTTTGACACATCGATAAAGTACAAATCTGGCATATTAATCCAAAAGTCAGGAATTTCTCCAGAAAGTTGATTGTTTGAGATGGCTAGGGTCGTGATAGCATTTAGTTTACCTATGGACATAGGAATGCTACCATTTAGAGAGTTACTAGAGATATCTATGTCTGTTAAGTGGGGCATTACTTCACCAATGTCTAGAGGAATTGGTCCAGAGAACAAGTTATTATGTAGATACAGTGTGCTCACATTGGAAGACCAAAGTGGTAGAGGACCCTCGAAGTTGTTTGTACTCAGATCAACACCAGAAAAGACATTAAATCGTAATGAGTTAGGCACATGTCCGCTTAAATTATTATCAGATAGATCTAGTTCACTGAGTTGCAAATCCAACTTCCAAAGCCAGTCTGGTATTGTGTCTGAAATTCTAGCATTGACAAGAACCAAAGTGTTCAACTCACTTTGATTTCGAAGCCATGTTGGGAATTTGGGTCCCAACTGGCATGATCTGATCTTGATGAATGTGAGTTTAAAAGGAGGAATCCAATCAGAACTGATGTTGAAGATCATTGAAATATTTGGTGATCGATTATAAATTGAGATTTCCCTCAAGTTTGAGAGATTTGCAAAATGAGCTTCAGTACCAACACCTTCCCATGAATTATCCGAGAGCTCCAATACAACTAACGACGAGAGCTGCCCAAGGTTTTGTGGGATGCTCCCCATCATTTGATTGTTGGAGAGGTATAATTCCTCCAGGGAAGATAAATTCCCGATGGAGTTTGGAATCGGACCTTGGAACATGTTATTCCAAAGTATAAGATACTGCAATTTCTTTACGTATCCCAATGTATTAGGCAGGTTGCCAGTCAATTGGTTGTATCCCAGGTCCAATGTCTGTAGGCTACTACTAGGGCATTCAGATAAACCACTGATGAATTCAGTTAACTCTCCTGTGATGTTGTTGAAAGAAAGTTCCAACATCTGCAAATTACAAAACTTCCCTAGATTTCTTGACAATTGACCTCCAATGAAGGAATTTTGTGAGAGATCAAGGTTTTGAAGGGAAGTTAGCTTCGTAAAGGCATCTGAAACTTCACCTTGGAGATTGTTGGAGTTGAGATCAAGTTGGGTAAGGGAACTAAGATTGAACAACCATTGGGGTATTGTGGACTTGAAGCCATTGTTGGAGAGGTCAAGTACTGAAAGAGATGTAAAATTGATAGAAGGAAGAGAGGGTGGAAGGTTGAGAAGCACACACTGAGGCAAATGTAATTCTAAAAGGGATGGAAGCATATTGATAATTTGAAGCCAAGAGGATGCAGCCTTACTAAGGTCCACACCTCCCAAATTAAGGTACTTCAGAGATGAAAGACTTGATATCCATCTCAAATCATTGACATTTGAATCATCAAAGTAGGAACTGAGATCAAGATAAAGCAAGCTTGAAAGGTTTCCGAGATTTGGTGGGATTGTCCTACCAAAAAATGCACCAGAGAGGTTGAGATATCTCAAATTTGTGAGGGATCCAAGGAAATTTGGGATTTGGATCCCTCCAAAGTTATTCATACTCAAGTCTAAATAACTCAAATATTTCAAATCGAGTATAGAAGGATTGATCTCACCTCCTATGCTTTGACCCGTTCCATTGATGCCAAAACTATTTGGAAATGAGTTGCGAAGTTTGAGCTTGATGACATTTCCAGTTTTGTTGTTGCAGCTCACGCCTTGCCACATACAACAATTTTCTCCAACCCAGGAAGAAAGCCGGCCTGTAGGATCCGTGAGACCTTGTTTGAAGTTGAGAAGTGCTTTCTTCTCAATTTCTATGCAACCGCCATTGACACTCTTGTAGCAGGTGCTGAGTTTTATGGTTTGAAGGTAAAAGAAGAAAATGAGAAAGAGAAGTTGGAGGGAGCCACTTTTCATACCCATGAGTGGTTGTGCAAGAATATGCTCAAATGGAGAGTACGTGTTTGTTGTGTTGTGACTATAGTACAACTCACTTCCCATATATATATATATATGAATGAAGATTCTTTTGCTGAAATTATTGAAACTTTGCAATGAGATTGGCTTGGTTGTTGACGTGGAAACATGGTAACCCAAGTACTGAATAAGGGTGGTGGTCCAAGGTCAGGAGGAAGACTGAAGGATGAATAATGAAATGATGATAAACAATATATGATCTGTATGATTGGTGAGACTTGTTAGATCAATCAAACAATGATATATGCGATAATAAACAAAAGGACAAATTACATTAACAGTCATTATAGTTTGAGGTACGTGTCATTTTAATTCATAACTTTTCAATTGTGACACATTTAATCTTGAATTTTTAATATTGTTTCAAATAAGGACAATTGAAGACCATTACTCAATTTTAAGGGCAAAATTATCAATTTGCTAAAATATAAACTAATTTGACAAAAATAAATGTCAAAAACAATATTTTTGAATTTTTAAAAATTATTTCTACCCACCAAAGATAAAATTATGTAAAATTGATAAATCTTTTACGCATTTATTTATTTATTTATTTTACCAAATTAATTTTTATTATGTGTTTGGATAATGACCATGTAATGGTGGTTGATAGGATTTTAATGTGTAATCGATATATTTAATATATGAAATGTTTTTAGATTTGGATTTTTTGATTTAATGGATTTGTTTAATAATGATATCAAAGTTATTGCCATATTTGACTTTTGAAAAAATAAAAACTAATTTAATGAAAATAAAAATAACCACTCATTACATGATCATCATCCAAACACATAATAAAAATTAATTTGGTAAAAAATATAAATAAATGTGTAAAAGATTTATCAATTTTATATAATTTCATTTTTGGTAGATAGAAATAATTTTTAAAAAATCAAAAATATTTTTTTGACGTTTATTTTTGTCAAATTAGTTTATATTTTATCAAATTAACAATTTTGGTCTTGAAATTAAGCAATGGTATCTTCAATTGTCTTTATTTGAAATAAGATTCAAAATTTAGGGCCACAATTAAAAAGTTAGGGATCAAAGTGAAATAAATCCTAAATTATAGGGACCATTAGTGTAATTTGTCCTAAACAAAATATAATAAATCAAAGTGTATAGATAATTTTTGTATAATAAATAGTGGATTTTCTCATATTTAGTACAATTTATACTATCGTGGACCAATTACAATTCTGTAGTAGTTTAATAATATCTAGGCATTTTGACTAGGAATCCGGGGTGACCCAAGCTCTATGGTCTGGTGTGAATTTAATAATACTATTGTAATAATTTGATAATTATTGAATGAGAACACTTGTTTGTCAGAGTTAATTTGATATGTAATAATATTATAATTAAGAGAACACATAGTTTGACTTTCAATTAATTTGATCTGTAATATTGTTGTAATAATTTGAGGCTTTCAATTAATTTGATCTGTAATAATGTTAGAATTATGGAATGAGAACACATAATTTAACTTGCAGCCCTAATGTCATGTTCCAAGTACTCTCTCTACATGCTTGCTTGGCTGAAAAAGATACTCTATTTGCAAGTCAACTCATTTTTGTTTGCCGGAGCTAGCCTTCCAAATCAATCCTCATACATAGAGATGCTCTTCAAACTCTGAAGTTGTTGTCAACTTGAGCTCAGAGTTCATCATGCCAGGCGTGAAACTCAAACTATATTGTTATTATTATTTTTAATATCAAGTGCCTACTTTGGTCATAAATCTGTTTTTTGAACTCATGGACCATGTTTGATCGTCTGCTTGCGGATGAGGATTGGATTGTTAATTTGTGAGTCTGATTAAAATTTATGTTTTGTTTGGTTGTGACAAAGTAATATAGGAATTTAATCTCCTTTTAAGGGTGAGATTCATAGCCCAATCTCATGGGATTAGATGACCAAAAGACTATTTTACTCCCTCTTCATGAAAACAATAAAACTCTTTTTATGTACCAAGAGTTTATCTATAAATTTAATTTTAATCCTCTAATATCATCATAATAATGCACAAACAAATACAATTTATCTTACATTTCAAATCTAGTAGTATTAAACTAGCATTTTCAATTTTCAATTTCACTATACTCATAATTTAGTAAACTTAATTCAACAATCAAGCAAATATTAAATCAAAATTTATTATTTGGGTTCTGAATGACACCATCACTCCATAGATTAAGAAAAATAAAAAGACGAAAAAAAATCCCTTTTATTGCTGATCTTTTCCACGATTTGAGGCAAAGAATTTTTTAGAGAAAATGTCAGAATACACTCTTCAACCTGCAGAGAATAAGACAATTTATTATTTGGGTTCTGAATGACAACATCACTCCATAGATTAAGAAAAATAAGAAGAAGAAAAAAAATCCCTTTTATTGCTGATCTTTTCCACGATTTGAGACTAATAATTTTTTAGAGAAAATGTCAGAATACACTCTTCAACCTGCAGAGAATAAGACAATTTATTATTTGGCTTCTGAATGACAACATCACTCCATAGATTAAGAAAAATAAGAAGAAGAAAAAAAATCCCTTTTATTGCTGATCTTTTCCACGATTTGAGGCTAATAATTTTTTAGAGAAAATGTCGGAATACACTCTTCAACCTGCAGAGAATAAGACAATTTATTATTTGGGTTCTGAATGACAACATCACTCCATAGATTAAGAAAAATAAGAAGAAAAAACATCCCTTTTATTGCTGATCTTTTCCACGATTTGAGGCAAATAATTTTTTTAAAAAAATGTCATAATACACTCTTCAACCTGCCGAGAATAAGACCAGCCGCCACCATGATCCATGGTGCACAAGATTCTAATATTTTTTTTTTTATTTTGATATTAGTGTTATATGAAGTATCTGTCCAGTTTACTATAGAATGAATTATGGATTAGTTATATTTTTAGCCCACAAAGTATAATATTTGTATCAATGTTTAAATTGTGTCAATTTGGTTCTCGATGAATGAAAAAGTATTTTAATTTGGTTTCAAATCAAATTCTGTTAGTTGACGGCCATCAAAGTCGGGGATAAATGTAGAAACTCATATATAAAATTACACTTTTAGTTCCCAAAATATATCATTTGTGTGATGGTGGCGGTGGATGATGGTTACGGGAGAGAAGGAAACAAAATCTCATTAGAAAATAGAAAGTGTAAAGTTTAAATATTGATAGTAGTATAATCGTAAACTTATTAAAACCTAAAATAAAAAATAAAAAATAAAGAAAAAGAAAAACCTATTCATTTTCTTTTCATTTTTCTAACCCAACCATACAAAAGAAAAGAATTTAGCACCTTTCACTTCATTTTTTTTCCTTCTCTTTTCCTTTCCCTCCACAAATTCAAGATTCAAACATATTGAAAAAATACAAATAAAAATAAAAAAGGAATTCGTAAAAGGCCACTTTGCAGCTTGGCAATCAAGTTTTTGTTGAGTTTTAAGTCTTATGTGAAGTTTGGCTATCCGCTTTCCAATAATTTTTTTTCAAGTTTGGATATCAGCTTCCCAATAAAACTAATTAATTTGGATGGGAACCCTGCAGTTCCGATTGATTAGCCACGTCTACTCCATTATCACAATGCATTCTAAGACTGAAATGACCTGAAGGAAATTTATTAATAAGAACAAATTGTGCAGCCATAATGGTTATAAAATACCATGTCACTTATCAGCCATTTCAATCTGTTGTGATTTGATTCTAGCAGCTACGTTGTAAATACTTTAACAATCAAGACGTCATTTTTCACATTTGACATACCTACTTCAGCACATTATTTTGCAAAGTAATTTAGTGCTTGAAAAATGGAACCACACCACATAAGGGATTTGAAGCAATTTTACTTAAACAAAAAGACAACGTGACATAAGTATGTAACATAACCATGTGGTATATAAACACATTAACAAACTATGGTATAAGAATTAGACATGTTGAGTGAAGGATTAGATTTCTTAGCAGAGAAAGGAAAGGGAGAGAGGGGATGTCGGTTGGTCCTTATAGGTGGGGAAGACAAAAGACGGTTCGGTGATGGTGGCGGACGATGGCGGCTACTACGGAAGAGAAGGAAACATAATCTCATTAGAAAAAAGATAGTGTAAAGTTTAACTATTGGTAGTTGTAGAATCGTAAATCTATCCCACATCGTTCATAATCTAATTAGAAGAGAGATAGTGTAAAGTTTAAATATTGGTAAACTTATCCCACATTGTTTAAAAGCAATGCAAAATGTCTGAATATAAGGGGTGATTGAGACATCTAATAATTGCCAAGCTAAGTAGCGTTAGCTTACGACTCAAGCGAGGGCACCAAAGTGGTTGGATGATGGTAAAGTTGATAGTTGGCTTCAACGCTTGAACTTAAGCTAGACCAGCGAACTTGTAGGTTCTGGCTAGCTTACTTAAACTTAGGCTAAAACGATTAAACCACTAGGTTCTAGCTAGCTTGGTTGAAATCAGGCTAGACCGAGTAAACCTCTAGGTTCTAGCTAGCTTAGTTGAACCTTGTAGGTTGTGGCCAGCTTAGTTGAACTCAAGCTAGACCAGTGAACCTGTGAGTTGTGCCCGGCCTAGTTAAACTTAGGCTAGACAGTGAACCTGTAGGTTCTCTGGCTATAGCTTTAGTTTACGGCATTGGACAACCACTTCTTTTTTCTTTTTTTTTTTGTAATAGAAAATTAAAAAAAATAATATTGTGATTATGAAGGGCGGGCTTTTATTTTGCATGTATAAAATAAATAAATTAGTGTTGTTATGATCATGGACGGATCTTGAAAATTTGAAAATCTAAATATATATACTTTCGCACCCTGTATCAGTCCTTGGTGATGATTACAAAACAAAAAAATGATGATTTTTTCTATTTCAATCAATAACATTTGGTTCGGCTTGTGGATTCGCCCTGGAGCTTGACCCTACACATTCCAT